AAAAAAAAAATAAATAAATAAATAAAATAATAAAGTACACGCCCAGAAGCCCCCACCCCCATTTGAATTTTATTGTGAGATGGAGTCTCGCTAAGTTACCCTGGCTGCCCTCCTAATTTGTAATCCTTCAGTCTCAGCCACCSGAATCGCTGGATTACAGGTGTGTACTGTGCCCAGAGCCAAAATCTTGGAATTTGATGTTCATCACTATCATTTCTTTCCCTTCCCAAGAAAATCTCTTTTAATAGAGTTATCTATGCTCATGATGGCATTTCCTCACCTTCTTGAACTTTCCTTCTAGTCACTTTTCACCTCCCCACTTTGAGGCTATTTAGTTATTAGTTACTTTTGTTATTACCCCAGCAGCCACTTTCCAAGGCCTATATTCCTTGCTCTTGTTTTGACATTCTTTCCTATTCACGATGCTCCATTACATTATATTTTAATAGTGTCTCTTTCTCTCTTATGCTGGTTCTTTGTCAGTCTCCTTCAGGGGCTTTGTTTCCTTTATCTAACTGCTCAATTTTTCATCAGGGTTCCAAATCTTAGCCCACTGCTCTTCTCACTTAATACAGCCCCTCTGGTTGAACTTGTCTATGCATTCATCCTGCTTTCATTACACAAATATTTAACATGTATGTGCCAAGTTTTTAAAATATATTTTATTAGTTGTTGATTATTTATTTATATGCGGTGCTGAGAATTGAACCTAGTGCCTCACACATGCTAGGCAAGTGCTCTACCACTGAGCTACAACTCCAGCCCCTCTGTGACAAGTTTTTGTATAAGCACTGGGGATAAAAATATATACAATTTTTAGATTAATGGTTTAATTGGGAAGAATGCAAAACTGGACATGAAATTACAAAAGCATATAATGAGGATCAACATGGCCACTGTGATAAAGGAAGGTTTTTCTGAGGATGTGACTAAGACATTGTAAACTAAAACAATAAAAAGTTAACTAGGTAAAGGTAAATGGGATAGAAAAAAAATTCTTCATGAGATGCATAAAGACCCTTTCAAAGAAGGGAACATGACCACTCACAATTCTGAAAAGCCAGGGAGACTGTACAAAGAAAGCAAGGGGAAACAAAGAAAATAAGACAAACATCAAATGCCTTGCAATGCCTTGGCTGCCATATCAGAGATTCCAAAAGAAAAAAAAAAAAGTTTATAAATTAAAGATGTACAAATTAGAATTAAAAGGAGATAAAAAAAATATAGTGAAAAGACTCTTTGACACTGGAAAATCAACAGGAGTTCCAGAGAGAACAGTGAAAATCATAGAAAAAGCTAAGCTATTTCTCAAGAACAGATCATAAGTTCACAATCCATAAGGGCTTTCTGAGTGCTAGCAGTGTGGATGAAAAGAAACCCACACTAAAGAACATCACTGAAATTTTAGAACACTGCTTACCTACATAGGTCCAGACGGGAAAAAGATGATCTCAAGAAGATTAAGCACTGAACAGATCTCTCACTAGCAATAGTGAAATATTCAGTAAAACAATGTTTTAAAACTCTAAAGGGCAATTATTTCTAAACTCAAATGTAAGGGAAGAAGGACCACATCAGCAGACAGGCAATGTCTTAAAAATGTCCTCTTTCTTAGATAGCTACCAGAAAATGTATTCCAGTAAAATGAGAAGTAAATCAGGAAAAAGAAGGATGGTCTGCACAAAACAGGAAGATACAGAATACAGGGAGGTTAAGAAAATTCCCAGGATAATGACAAAGGGATACTCTAGGATGACAGCTGATGGATGCACAGAAGCCAGTTAATCCGAAGGGAAGTAGATCAAAAGGCTCCGGGAAAATATGATTGTTTTTTTTTTGTTGTTGTTGTTGAAAGCTATCTCTGCGGTAGAAAAATAACAATACATGAAAACAATTTTAATTATAAACATCTCCACAAAAGGTAGGTGTTATGATAGGACCAAAAGGGTAAAACTGAGACTACTTGGTTGATATCACAGAACATTTTAGTTCAATGTAAGGAATAGGTTTACAGGTGAGAGGAGTTTGGAAATGAAATGGAATACCCTGTAGGTACTTCAGCATAAATCAGACGATCATTTGGTACTGACTACAATTATAGGAGAGTATAAGCTTCCAAATGGTAATTCAATTAGATGCTTATTAAGGTATATTTCAACACAGGTATTTTGTAATTCCTCTATAAATGCTCGGCCAACAAAGAAAGGGGAACAAAACAGAAGAGAGAACTATTAGTAAACAATACATTTAAGGCTAAGTTTGACTATCTTTTTCTACTCATAAAACCAACTTTAGAATCTAAAATATGTAAAAATGATTCTAATGTAATCATTTTTGAGCATGGAACCTGGAAGTCAGGAGAGATAAGATAGGCATAAAAATATGAGCAAAAGATTATATTTAACTTTTAATTATTTAGAATAAATCCATGTATTTTCAACTTCAGTGTGCCAAAACTGACAACACTAAAACATTATGGAGTTCTTGTGTCAACTATATGAATTAATATATGCAAAGGAGTTAGAAAGTGCCTGCACATTGAAATATTATATAAAACTATCTATTATTGTGATTCAGTATCTACTTGGATTAAAGTACATGGATTCTAAAGCCAGTCTGTTAGGACGAACACTTACTAATTATAAAAGTTTTAGGAAATTTACTTAACTTCTTTGACCTTCGGTTTTCTCATCTGTAAAAACAGGGATATTAATACATCTACTTCAAAGGATTACAGTGAAGATTAACTGTATTAACACACATAACAGACTCATAAGAAGTGTTGGGCACATACCAAGTGTTATGTAAGTGTTATATGTTGTTACCAAGAAACAGCAATCAAGAATTTGCCCTTGTGACTATTATGAAGTTCATTCAATATTCTCTATAAAATTACAGAATAGTGCAATTAATGGAACAAATGTCTTTCAAAAATACATATACTTCAGATGAAATATACTTCAAGAAAAGATCATAAGTTCACAGATGAAATATATACATCTGTCAAATAAATAAGGATTACTGGTTGTCAGACATTGGAAAATTGGAGGTGTGCAATTAAATGAAAAATGTGGTTACAAATCACATTTTCAAGAAATACAAAAAGTTACACATAAAAATGCTCAAAATTGTTTTCTCCCACAGTCACTTAAAGAAAAAAAACACTATTGTATTTTTAGAACATGAATATAATACCAGATGAATTCTGAGAGGTTACCTTACTCTAGCAGTCTACAAACACAAAGCAGCTTGATTTCTTTTCTGCTCTCATCTTTTCTTACTCCAATAGGAAATATGCATAATAATGCATACTGTAATATGCACTATGATATGCAATAATTAGCTCTGGTAAAAAGTAACTAATCCTTCTGATATCACTTGGCATTAATTTTTTTTTAAGTATAAAATGCTACAGTCCTTACATTTAACCCATTAGCTTTCTCACACTATAATCTTAGGAAAAAAAGGATAAAGAACATCAAGGGAGTAAATAAAGGACAACAGAATATTAAAATACCTTACCTGAATGTTACTGTTTTCACAAGGGAGAACACTGCTTTCTGCAAGAGGTGACATGCACATTTGAGAGCTTTCAATACTGAAGGCAATTCCACTCACAAAATCAGTCACGGGCAAACTCCCATTATCAACTGGCTCCTTAATCCAAGTGTTCTCATCCACTGTCCCTATAGGATCAACCATATCCACGGTGTCATTCTCCTTCTCACTTTCAATGTCCTGCAACAGGGCTAGTTCCTTCTCAGAAACACTGGACTGATTTTGTGTAATAGACATGGCAGTCACAACTAAATGTGTGCCGGGTGTAGAACTGTCACTATTCAGTTGCTGAAGGTGTATTCCTGCAGCATCCATGACAGGAGATGAGACTTCTGTGGAAGAAGCATTCTCTTTATCTTCTTCATCTTCACCGTGAGTCTCAAGAGTAAAAGGTATCCTCATCAGTGAGGTCCGATACTGAGAACTGCCTCTATACATCTCAAGTCTCATAGGAGACCAATTTTTTATTGGTGAGCAGCCATCTATATAAGGACTTCCAATACATGAATTAGTAATTCCATTAGAATTTGTTCCAGATGAAGCATCAGGAGAATGAAAAGTAAATTTCCTTTGTTCTAAAAGATTAGAAGAAAAAAATCACATCATAAAAACATGAAAACTTTTTGAAAAGCCATGACTAAATGGTAATCATCATGTTTCATGGCAGAAAAATTGGATTTCTGTAAGAGTTCGATTGTACTAAAGTGAAATTTTAATGTTAAAACTAATAACACAAGTAAATGTGTCTCAATAAGCAAGATGAGACTCAAAAATAATTTATCTGGCTTCTCCTCTATCTTACAATATTTTACTCCTTGAAAATTATTTTCTCATAAATATATCACTACTATACCAAAATTATTCATAATAATACTACCTGTATACATCTCAAGAAGATCCCTAGCAAATATATTGAAAGCTACAATGTAACAGCTACATCTGGTAAATTAAATATATAAAAGTGTATTTGCTTTTATGCAAAATACTGCAAGCAACATCAAAAGGCAAAAAAAGAGAAAATAATATTTGTAACAATAAAGAGCCTAATGATAATCACAATAATAAAAATGCTTTAAGGGTCCGTTTTTATAACTCATAAGCTTAATAAAAATCAAAGATTAAAAAATAGATAAAAACACATAAACAATCTTCCCAAGAGAAAATAAAGATAAAAAGTTTTCAACCACATAAATAATAAGTATGGAAGCTTACACAATGAAAAAATATTCAACAATAACTTCAGTCTCAACCTAATACTTTCCCAAAATACAAATGGTCAGTAAATATTTGGGAAGAGTTCAACATTTTTAATGAACAAAGATACAAAAATTAAAGCATTAAGATATCTTTTTGTAATTATCAAAACAATGAACATCAAAAGTAATAACACCAACATTTCTGGATGGAGAGAAACAACTTTCCTAGACATGTTTTCATGAAAAACTTAATTGGTACAATCTTTTATAAAGAAAATGAACAAAATTCATCAAGAGTCTTAAAATATCCACCCCTCTATTTGATCAAATAATTTCACTTCTGAAAATTTAAGCTAACAATATAAATATATCCAACATAATACATACACAAGGATAATCATTAGTTCTATAAAAAAGAAAAATTAGAAACAATTTAAATAGCTATCAATGGTTAAAAACAAATGATGGGCTAGGGTTGTGGCTCAGTGGCAGAGCCACATGAATGAGGCCTTCAGTTCAAACCCCAGCACCCCCCCACACACACACCAAAACCAATAAAAACAACAATAATGATACACGAATGAAATGTTTCAAAATCATGCTTTTGAAACAAAAATAAATGACTTTCCTGGACTATGAAAATATTCATAATAAAACGCTTTGTGAAAAAAGAATATTCAAACATGTGTAAGTATATACAGATCTATGTACTCACGTTTCCATATATAGATATACACACATATATTTATACACATACACACACACACACACACACCTGTGCACATAACTAAAGAAAATACTAACAAAAGTTTTCAATTTTCCAATTTTATTTACTAGGAAAAGATTTTCTAAAAATATGAAGTTTTCAAAATGTGGTATAATTTTTTTCAAAGAGAAATACATAAATTTCTGTATATTTATTTTAAAAACCTCATCCAAATATACCTTTTTACAAAATACGAATATGTGGTTATCAAATCTAAAATATAGATCAGAAGGTATGTAAAAACCAACTGTCTCTCAAATTACTATTTTTCTTTACAGAGTGATATAAATATTGTTAATCAAATAGCTATTTAACACTAGAGTAGAACACTGAGATTTCTAGTCTTTGAAAATAAATTGTTCCTTTTGTAAACAAAGCTTCTAGATATTAGAATGATCATTTATAGCTCTGCTAAAGGAGTCTCTTTAATAAAAAATACTCATAGTATAAAAATTTTAACTAGATATTTTGAGACATACCTGAGAGTGGTGTCTTTCCTATCTGAAGTCCAATTGGTGAGAAAGTGGGTGAAGAAATAGGTGAAGGGCTAGTTATGCTTCCTAAACTGTATCTTTTTGCATTAGCCTGAATAGGACTAGAAGAAAACTGCCCCTATAATAAAAATAAATAAGTAATAAATGAATACATTTATATGGTTCTCTTTCTCAAATCTGTTATACTGCATGCTATTTGTCTTCATCTTCAGAACACATGTATAAACTAGGAATCATTCACAAGAACCAACAAAAGGCATCTTGTTACAAAGATAACTTAAAAAGACTGCTAGAAAAAATTTGAAATAGAATGTTAGTCAAAATAATTAAGTTGCAAAATAATTATGTTGCAGACACACCTTTCACACCAAGCAATTATGAAAACTTTTTAAATAATTTATTCCATTAATGCAAATCCAAATGATTGTGTTACACAGTAAATCTTCCATAATTCACTAAATAGCCTATGTTGAGATTCCTTGAAACTCATGATAAATTTGATCATCCCATACACCTCTAAATACAAAATTGGAAAGTCTGACTAAAAACACTACTATGACTAATGACAACACATGAATTGGGTTTATATTTTTATAAAGCATAATACCCAAAAGACAAATTTGCCTTTTGAGTATAATCTGAGCATCTAGATCCAAGTACATCTATAAGTCAACAAGCCACTTATTAGTATATTTCTTACCGAACTTGGTGTCTGCACAGGAGTCCTATGCTGTACGGGAGATAAATCTATTGAATAAAACACCTCAAGTGAGGCTTGAGAGCTGCTATGAGGACTTCCGGGAGAAGCTGAAGGTAAGGAGTCAGAGATACTTCCATTCCCATCTAAAAAAAGCTTTCTTCTGAGAGACGAAGAACTGAGGTTTCCAGGAGACTGTTCTGCAAATTCATCAGCTCTAAAATAGTCACCTATATTTAACAATAGCAGAATAAAAGATAAAACTAATCGTTTTGAAGAGCAACTGTATTTTTGTTACCTGATTTTTTAAAAACCAGCAAGAAGCACATGTTTGAATTTATTTTTTTTCCTAAAAGAGGGCAAAGTTTAATTGTATATGTGATACTTAAAGTCTTAAATTATTGTAAAGTTTGTTATGATATAAAAGCTAATTCAGGCCATGTTCAAGACAAAAAGAAATTCAGGATACTTTCCCCATTTCTTTAGAAAGAGTCATTGGCACACATTACCATTTACTAAACAACTACTAAATTAAACCTTGATTGGTTTAAGTTATTAAAAGCTTAAACAATACAATATTTACCTAATATATTTTCTAAATTAAAATCCGCAGGAAGAGACAGCAATGTCTGACAAGCAGCTGGAAGCAAGCAAATAAATAAGTAAATAAGTACAAATATGGATAAATCAATGAAAGCATATGACATGCAATCTAGCATGAACTTCCCAATCAACCATCTCCCCATGCTGTTCTAGCCAAATTGAATCAATCCATTTATGCATTCTATTACATAACATGCAACCTTACTTTGAGAGATTTCCCACACTTTCTACCAGTGATGAAAATGCGTTAATGGTAGAAGTTAACTCCTGGCTACAGTGCTGGCACTTTGAATTCAAAGGGAAACCAGCCCATACTTGGAGAGATTTCCCAAAACAAATTTTCAAAGGCATGCTTTCCAAAACCAGAAATCAAATCAATGCTTTGAACAACAACAGCAAAAATACACTATTACTATTTTAAAACATGGCTGGATGCAACTATTTGAAAACATTTATCTTTAAAAGTTAGCTCTCTAGACTTTATAGCTCTTTCACAAAATCAAACAATTTAAATTCCAGAGTAACTACATGAACTGGGTTTAAAATCAAATGCAGCCATAATATGGAACATATTTCTTTTCATATTGTATTCACACTCACCATTGCTTTTCTCAGAATGAATACTCGGCTTTCTTCCAACTGGAGAGTCACTATTTATGTTAATGCCTGTAAAACATTTTAAATGGAAAACCATACATCTACATTCATTTATTTTAGTGTTACTTTTTCCAGAGTAAAAAAATTATATATTGGAAGTTTTTATAATGTTTTAAGAATAAATATCTGTATTTATAAGTATATATTTTGTCATGCTTCTGTTAAGTTACTTCTTTTAACATTGAGGAGGTAAAAGGATAAATGAAAGGATTACCATAGTAACTAAGAAGGAATGAAGTAATACTTTTTTTCATTAAAAAGACAAATAAGAATTATGTATATTTAAGGTGCACAGTATGATATCTGATATGTGCATACATTGTGGAAAGAATAAATTCAGCTAAGTTACACACCTATCACTTTACATACGTCTTCCTTTGTGGTGAGAATATTTAAAATCCAGTTTCAGCTTTTTAAAGCACATACAATAACTAACTATAGTCACCTAGCTGTGCAATAGCTTACTATAACTTAGCCCTTTTAACTGAAAGTTTGTGCCCTTTGATCACTACCTCCCCAATATCCTCACTTTCCCACACACCATTTCTATTTTCTAGAGAGTTTTATGTTTATAGATTCCACATATAAGTGAAATCTGTTTTTTTATGCCTGGCTTATTTTACTTAGTATAATGTCCTGTAGATTCATTTCATGTTATAGATGACATAAGTTCCTTCATTTTTTAGGAGTAAATAAATAGTATTCCATGGTGTGTGTGTGTGTGTGTGTGTGTGTGTGTATACACACATACAATATGCTCAGTTTCTTTCACAATAGGAGTAAAAAATATTAGTGCAAACATATTTTTAGCCAGGTGCAGTGGTACACACCTATAATCCCGGCAGCTTGGGAGAATGAGGCTGGAGGATTGCGAGTTCAAAGCCAGCCTCAGCAAAAGCATGTACTAAGCAACTCAGTGAGATCCTGTCTCTAAATAAAATACAAAATAGGGCTGGGGATGTGGCTCAGGGGTTGAGTACTGCTGAGTTCAATCCCAGTACCAAAAAAAAAAAAAAAAAAAAAAAGAGTAGATTCTAGTTTAGGATTATTAGATTTAACAATTCTGAATACATGAATGAGGAAGAGACGAGTGGGCTAATGACTTAAATTCCTCTATCACAATGAGCAAAAAAATAAAAACTAAAATTATGAATTCTGATGCCATCTTCATTAAGGCAGTGTGACCTTCTCTAAATAACCAAGGCTCTTCTCTGGGACTGGGATGTAATTCAATGGTAGAGCATTTGCCTCGCATGATCAAGAAAAAAGGAAAAAAGACTCTCCTCTATCTAAAATCCTGTAATGGTTTCAGGATGAAGTCCAAACATCTGCATGGTTTGCAAAGCCCTTCAAAACTTTATTTATCTAACATGCCTGAAATCCAATCAAAATTGGGAAATTTATTTATACTCAAGTAAAAAAAAAAATTACTTGAGTACCTTAAAAAAATATATCTCTCTCTCACCTTTAGGTGTTGCCTCATAAGTCTTTCCCCTCTACCTTTTCTCCACCATTCCCTAACTCTGGTCTCAGCTTCAACTGTATCTTTTACCAACAAGCTTCCTCTACCCTTCTCAAACCGGATACCCACAGAAACATTATCACAACACTTTTCACTCTACTGCATGTACTTTCTTAGTCGTTTCCCTCAGGAGCACTTAAACCAGTTTAAGACCACAATCAAATGGAAAAAAATATATATATATATGAGATCATACTAAAATAAAACTTCTATGCAACCAAGCAATCAAGAAAAAACCCAGTGGCTCAGCAGGCAGAGGCAGGAGGAACGTGAGTTCAGAGACAGCCTCAGTAAAAGCAAGGTGCTAAACAACTCAGTGAGACCCTATCTCTAAATAAAATACAAAATAGGATTGGGGATGTGGCTCAGTGGTCGAGTACCCTTGAGAGTTCAATCCCTGGTACTGGGAAAAAAGAAAAAGAAAAAAACATACCTATGATAGAATGGTATTTGAAATGTTTAAAACCAATATGACTATAATATACAAAGTATCTTAAAAACTAATGGGGGAAAAAGGATAGCAACTCTAATAGGAATATGATTGAAGAATTACAAAAAGGTATTTTCCAGAAGAAAAAATTTAAAAGGCAGATTAATATTTAAAGATGAAATTAAAATTACAACAATCATTTAGACTGTCTTAACCTATAAGGCAAAATTCAAAAACTGGGTGATGCCAAATATTGACAGAGAAGTCAGAACATAGGAAACCTAGGTAGTACTGACCATGCATCTTGTAGACATTCTGAGAGCAATCAAGCATTATGCAGTCAAATCTAAGTAACTATATATCCTGTAACTCTGAAATTCCCTGCCTGTGTAACATAGTTCTCACAAGCCCTTTAATAAAAACATCAAAGCATCCTGACATAAATATATTGTAAAAGATAACAGTAAAAGATAACAAGCCTAACAGGTATCAACAAAATTACTTTCTTTCCATTCACTCTTTTATCAATCATTAAATTAATAAGCATTTATTGGTGCATTTATAGGTACTGAGCATTTATAGGTACATAAGCTTAGAAGTATTATTATATTATAGATAAAGAAACTAAAGTACAGAAAAGCTTCGTAACTTTCCTAAAGTCACATAGCTAGTGTAGAAACAATTCAAATCCACAAAACATTAGTCTAAAGGAAGAGTCAACAAATTATGGTCTATGGCACAAATTTGTTCTGTCACCTATTTTTACAAATACAGACTCATTGGAACAGACCCACACTCCGTCATTTATATATGATAAAAGGTACAGAACTACAGGTGAGTGCTTGCAACAGAGAATGTGTGCTTTGCAAAGCCTAAAATATTTAACAGTGGATCCTTAACAGATGAAGGTTCTCAACCTCTGCCCTAAAGTATTATCTAACAGAACTTTTTGTGATAATAGGAATGTTTTATATTTGCACTGCCCAATAGTCACTAATAGCCAAGTGCAGCTACGAGCACTTACAATGTAAATAGTATTGATTGGGAAATTTATTCAAATTTAAACAGTCACAAGTGGCCAGTGGCTACCTTTATGTCAACAGTAGTAAATAATCTTAAGATTCTACCATACTTGCAAGCTAACAAGTTAGTATGCCAAAGTTCCACAGATGCTGGCTGAACACATAAGGCTTCTGAGTCAAGGACAAAGGACTTTATTCTAGCCAAGCAGGCAGCATGAGCTTAATATTCACATCTGTTTCCTTTGAACCTCAAGTCCAAAGGGATGATATGGAGTAGCTCAGGTGGATTTTGTACATATAGTAAATACTATAGTTTGGATCTGGAATGTTGTCCAAAGTCCCTGTGTGTTAAAGGCTAGGTCCCCAGCTTGGCATGCTAGGAGGCAGTAGGAACTTTTAAGAGGTGGGACCTAATGAAAGGTCTTCCAGTCAGTAGGAGTATGTCTTTGAAGGGGATAGGAGAAACTCTTCTTCTTCCCTTTCATACCTGGCCATGAGGTGATCAGATGTTAATCCTGTGCTCCAACCATGACATATACTATGCCACAGCAAACCCAAAACAACAGGGCCAATCAATCATGGACTTAAATCTTCAAAACTGTGAACCAGAGTCCACAGCTTTGCCGCCGCCACCGCTGCAGCCACCGCCGCTGCCGCCACCGCTTTCCGCGGAGCACCTTAGAACAGACTCTTAACCAAGTAAAATGGAACAGCTGATAAGATGAGTGACAATTTAAAATCTAAATGATCCAACATGGCGGCGGATGCAGAGAGATCAAGTCTCTAACCCCTTCAGCTGCACGGGCATAGGGAGAAGTAAACTGTCAAAATACTGTTCGCTCAGGACCACTAGGCACGGTTGAGCTGAAGTGGA